ACTCATCCACACACACCTTCACACTCACACACTCATCCAGACACTCACTCACTCACACACTCAATCACAGGTGGAGCAGCAGGGAGAGCAACAGGGAGAGCAGGCGGGCGGCTGACTCCAGTGGTAGCGACAGCATGGCGTGGTCACCTACACACTCACACACACACCTACATACACTCACTCACACACTCATCCAGACACTCACACACTCACACACACACACTCATCCAGACACACTCACACACTCACTCACTCATCCACACACTCACACACCCACTCACTCACACACTCATCCAGACACTCACACACTCACACACACACACACCTACACACTCACTCACACACACACTCACACCTACATACACTCACTCACACACACACCCAGACACACACACACACACTCATCCACACACACTCACACACACTCACACACACACACACACGTACACACACTCACACCTACACACTCACATCTACACACACCCCTACACACACACTCACCGACATACACTCACACACACACACCCACACACTCAATCACAGGTGGAGCAGCAGTGAGAGCAGGCGGGCAGCCGACTCCAGTGGTAGGGACAGCATGGCGTGGTCACCTACACACTCACACACTCATCCACACACTCACACACTCATCCAGACACACACTCACACACACACTCACACACACTCACACACGCACACCTACACCCTTCACGAACTAAGTGGTCAAAATAGATGTTAAATAATGTGGGAGCCAGAGGACATCCCTGTCGCACCCCAAGGTGTACAGCGAATGGCTCTGACTCCCGGCCACGTAGTTTTACCCGGGCCCGCTCACCATCATGAAGGTCCTTAATGATCATGAAGCAGAGGGTCAGAAACTCCAAAAGCACGAAGAACAACCCAGAGCCCAGGCCTACTGATGGTATCATAGGCCTTGACCAGGTCAATAAAGCAGAGATGTAGGTCTTGTTGGAATTCCCTACACCTCTGCTGTAGCAGACGGACACAAAATATGGCATCTGTGCAGGACCGCCCTTTCCTGAAACCGCAATGGGGCTCCGCAAGCCTCTCCTCAGCGTGCCTAGCAAGGCGATGTTGAATAATCCTTGCCAGGACCTTTCCCGGCACACTGAGGAGTGAGATGCCCCTGTAGTTGTTACAGTCGGTATGGTCCCCCTTAAAGAGGGGGACCACCAGGGCATCCTTCCAGTCCTGCGGAACCCGTCCAGTGGTCCAGACTGTTGTTATGATGTCATGTAGGGCAGTCTGTGCACAAACGCCACCCTCCCTCACTCACACACACACCTACACACACCTACACACACACCTACACTCACCCACACTCATCCACACACACACTCATTCACACACAGACACTCGCTCACACACACACCCACACTCACACACTCTCCACGTCACCCTCACATCCTCCCCGTTACCCTCTCCACGTTACCCTCTCATCCCCCCCGTTACTCTCCCCATCACCCTCACATCCCCCAGTTACCATCACATCCCCCCCGTTACCCTCTCATCCCCCCCGTTACTCTCCCCATCACCCTCACATCCCCCAGTTACCATCACATCCCCCCCGTTACCCTCCCCATCACCCCCGTTACCCTCCCCATCACCCTCACATCCCCCCGTTACCCTCCCCATCACCCCCGTTACCCTCTCCGTTACCCTCGCATCCCCCCCGTTACCCTCCCCATCACCCTCACATCCCCCACGTTACCCTCCCCACGTTACCCTCACATCCCCCCGTTACCCTCCCCATCACCCCCGTTACCCTCTCCGTTACCCTCGCATCCCCCCCGTTACCCTCCCCATCACCCACACATCCCCCCGTTATCCTCCCCGTTACCCTCACATCCTCCCCGTTACCCTCCCCCCGTTACCTTCCCCATCACCCACACATCCTCCCCGTTACCCTCCCCCGTTACCCTCCCCATCACCCACACATCCCCCCCGTTACCATCCCCATCACCCACACATCCCCCCCCCGTTACCCCCCCCCGTTACCCCCCCCGTTACCCCCCCCCGTTTCCCTCCCCCCGTTTCCCTCCCCCCGGTTACCCTCCCCACGTTACCCTCCCCACGTTACCCTCCCCACGTTACCATCACCCACACATCCCCCCCGTTACCCCTCCCCCCCCCCCCCAGGTTACCCGGCACGGCAGCAGAACGGGACGCGGCTATCTTGACGATCTGATGGGGGCGGGTGCGGGGGGGGGGGGGGTGAGGGAATCGATCCACCGGCGAGAAATCGTTCCGTACGCGCGGAATCGATTCTAGTCACCCGATTAGATCCGTTCGATTCCGATTACAAACAACTCCGATCCGAAGAATCGTCGAATTATCAGCTGGCGAGAGAATTGGTGAAATATAGTAATAGGTTTTTACCCTTTCAACTGGTACAAAAACGGACACCTTTATACAAGGCATCATGTTTGCAATAAGCGCAACACAAGCAGTCAAAATGCAAACAAAAAGAAACAACTCTGATGATGATAATGATGTGCATTGTCCTTGAAGTTGATTGGTCCACACCCGAGACAGCTTTCCTTAGAGCCCAGTCTCACATGGTCCTTGAAGTTGATTGGTCCACACCCGAGACAGCTTTCCTTAGAGCCCAGTCTTACATGGTCCTTGAAGTTGATTGGTCCACACCCGAGACAGCTTTCCTTAGAGCCTAGTCTCACATGGTCCTTGAAGTTGATTGGTCCACACCCGAGACAGCTTTCCTTAGAGCCTAGTCTCACATGGTCCTTGAAGTTGATTGGTCCACACCCGAGACAGCTTTCCTTAGAGCCCAGTCTCACATGGTCCTTGAAGTTGATTGGTCCACACCCGAGACAGCTTTCCTTAGAGCCCAGTCTTACATGGTCCTTGAAGTTGATTGGTCCACACCCGAGACAGCTTTCCTTAGAGCCTAGTCTCACATGGTCCTTGAAGTTGATTGGTCCACACCCGAGACAGCTTTCCTTAGAGCCTAGTCTCACATGGTCATTGAAGTTGATTGGTCCACACCCGAGACAGCTTTCCTTAGAGCCCAGTCTCACATGGTCCTTGAAGTTGATTGGTCCACACCCGAGACAGCTTTCCTTAGAGCCTAGTCTCACATGGTGTTGGACCAGATGACGCCAAAAGGCGCACAACTCAAACACAGCGCACTATCAGAGTATTGAGAGCTCGGGGTAAGCATTTACACTATGAGACCTCCTTTACCAGTGGCACAATATAGTAATAGGTTTTTACCCTTTCAACTGGTACAAAAACTGCCCCCCGCCCCCCAAAATAAAACTTGCTTCAAATCGCTTTAAACTATTGTCATTGTGGTGCGTAGTTAATGTGGCGCTGCACTCTGATGTTGTAGGAGTGTTGCTATAACAATTAGTGTTATACTGGTAGGAACCTCCTGGTTACACCAGCCCACAGGGGATTATTGTGTCCGTCCGTTGTGCAGGGAGGGACTGGGTGGGGAGGGGCTGGGTAGGGCTGGGTGGGGAGGGGCTGGGTGGAGAGGGGAGGGTGGGGAGGGGTGGGTGGGGAGGGGCTGGGTGGAGAGGGGAGGGTGGGGAGGGGCTGGGTGGGGAGGGTGGGGAGGGGCTGGGTGGAGAGGGTGGGGCTGGGTTGGGGGTGGGAGGGGTGGGGCTGGGTGGGGAGGGTGGGGCTGGGTGGTGAGGGTGGGGCTGGGTGGGGAGGGTGGGGCTGGGTGGGGCTGGGTGGAGAGGGGCTGGTCACCCCGTGGTGCCCTTATAAAACTCAACGTTTCACCTACTCACGCCGGCTTGTGCCCGCCCTCACAGTCGGGCATATTTGCGGAATACACCACGCCGCCGTTGACCCTGCAGGCCATTGACCGAGCAACCCGACGTTCCTACCAGCTCCCTCCGCAGGAGGAATGTGTTTGCATGTTCACAAGTACGTATGTGTGTGGCCTCAAGGTACACATGGCCTGGCACAAGCGTCGTGGTGACATCACCACCACTTAGTGGCGAATGTCGGTCGTTGTTGTGGTTAATCCAGTCACTTGATTCCCTGCAAAGGGTTTCTATTTGGTGTTTGAACATCTTAAGACGCCTCCTGTTTCATTACTGCCGGAAAGAGGTAAAAACACTGAGAATCAAGTTTTCACACTTTGATGGTGGCTTAAAAGGTCCCATTTTGACGAAGACGACGTTGATGATGACCACGTGACCGAGCCCAGCACTCGTGACCAGACGTGAATGGATCCGACTGGCAGATGCACCACCAGCTGTGACCCCCCTGTGCCAGGCTAGGTGCAGGAGGAGGTCACGGGACAGACCCAGCAGGTGCCATGGGTTGGCCGACTGAGATGACCGGTATATGCCACCAGCTGTACCCACCTACTGTGCCAGGCGAGGTGCAGGATGTCATGGGACAGACCCAGCAGGTGCCGTGGGTTGGCTGAGATGACCGGTAGATGCACCACCAGCTGTACCCCCCTACTGCGCCAGGCTAGGTGCAGGAGGAGGTCACGTGACAGACCCAGCAAGTGCCATGGGTTGGCCGACTGAGATGACTGGTAGATGCACCACCAGCTGTACCCCCCCTACTGTGCCAGGCTAGGTGCAGGTCACGGGACAGACCCAGCAGGTGCCACGGGTTGGGTGAGATGACCGGTAGATGCGCCACCAGCTGTACCCCCTACTGTGCCAGGCTAGGTGCAGGTGGTCACGGGACAGACCCAGCAGGTGCCATGGGTTGGCTGAGATGACCGGTAGATGCACCACCAGCTGTACCCCCTACTGTGCCAGGCTAGGTGCAGGAGGTCACGTGACAGACCCAGCAGGTGCCACGGGTTGGCTGACTGGCAGATGCACCACCTCTGCTCCCTACTGTGCCAGACACAGCCAGACAGACACAGACATACGCACACAGACAGCCACACACAGACATACAGACACACACACACAGACAGCCAGACATACACACACAGACAGCCAGACATACACACACACAAACACACACAGACACCCGTGCAATCTCCCGTGCTTTTATTGCAGCGCTGAAATGATTCCTCGCGCGCGCACGCAAGTGGCAACGCCAAAGAGCCACTCCAGTTGTGTGTGTCGTGCCCCAAGCGCGTCTCTGAGCAGCGCCCGTGTGTCTACGAGTGTGTCTCTGTCCCGTGTGTCTACAAGTGTGTCTCTGTCCCGTGTGTCTACGCGTGTCTGTCCCGTGTGTCTACGAGTGTGTCTCTGTCCCGTGTGTCTACGAGTGTGTCTCTGTCCCGTGTGTCTACAAGTGTGTCTCTGTCCCGTGTGTCTACGAGTGTGTCTCTGTCCCGTGTGTCTACAAGTGTGTCTCTGTCCCGTGTGTCTACGCGTGTCTGTCCCGTGCGTCTCCCGTCTGCCTGTGACCCGCAGTATGTCCGTGTCTTGGGTGTCTGTTTACACCAGAGGTCGCAACCGGGTACCCGGCTACCCGTACCCGGCCGGGCACAGGCTCGAGAAGAGATGGAGTGATGTGGTACAGGAGGACGTGGAGCTGAGTGGACTTGCCGATGACCGGTACCAGCGGTGTCAAGATCGGCCTCTGTGGAGGAGGCTCGTGAAGGACGCTACTGGGCAGTTGGAGGCAGTCGCCCTCCAGCAACAACGGAGGGCGGAGGAGCGACGCTCACAACAACGAGCGGAGCGCCAGGTAGCTAAAGCACAGCAAGTTGGCACAGTAGGGGGCACAGGTGGTGCATCAGCCAGTCATCTCGGTCATCTCAGTCAGTCGACCCGTGTCACCTGCTGGGTCTGCCCCGTGACCTCCTGCCAGCGGGCGTTCGACACTTCACGTGGCCTCAAGGTGCACATGGCCTGGCACAAGCGTCGTGGTGACGTCACCGCCACTTAGTGGCGAATGGCAGTTGTTGTTGTTGTTGTGAGTGTGTGAGTGTGTGAGAGTGTGTGTGAGTGAGTGTCTGAGTGAGTGTCTGAGTGTCTTGAGTGAGTGTCTGAGTGTCTTGAGTGAGTGTCTGAGTGAGTGAGTGTGTGAGTGAGCGTGTGAGTGAGCGTCTGAGTGAGTGTCTGAGTGAGTGAGTGTATGAGTGATTGTGTGTGTGAGTGTGCAAGTGTCTGAGTGAGTGTCTAAGTGAGTGAGTGTCTGAGTGAATGTCTGAGTGTCTGAGTGAGTGTCTGAGTGTCTTGAGTGAGTGTCTGAGTGTCTTGAGTGAGTGTCTGAGTGAGTGAGTGTGTGAGTGAGTGTCTGAGTGAGTGTCTGAGTGAGTGTGTGAGTGTCTGAGTGAATGAGTGTCTGAATGAGTGTCTGAGTGAGTGTCTAAGTAAGTGAGTGTGTGAGTGAGTGTCTAAGTGAGTGAGTGTCTGAGTGAGTGTATGAGTGTCTGAGTGAGTGTCTGAGTGGGTGTCTTGAGTGTCTGAGTGAGTGAGTGTGTGAGTATCTGAGTGTCTGAGTGAGTGTCTGACTGAGTGTGTGAGTGTCTAAGTGAATATCAGAGTGAGTGTCTGAGTGTGTGTCTAAGTGAGTGTCTAAGTGAGTGTCTAAGTGAGTGAGTGTCTGAGTGAGTGTCTAAGTGAGTGTCTAAGTGAGTGAGTGAGTGTCTGAGTGTCTGAGTGAGTGTCTGAGTGAGTGAGTGTCTAAGTGACTGAGTGAGTGAGTGAGTGACCGTCTGAGTGAGTGTCTGAGTGAGTGAGTGTCTGAGTGAGTGAGTGTGTGAGTGTCTGAGTGAGTGAGTGAGTGTCTGAGTGTCTGAGTGAGTGAGTGTCTGAGTGAGCGAGTGTCTGAGTGAGTGTCTAAGTAAGTGTGTGAGTGAGTGTCTGACTGTCTAAGTGAGTGTCTGAGTGAATGTCTAAGTGAGTGTCTAAGTGAGTGAGTGAGTGTCTAACTGAGTGAGTGAGTGTCTAAGTGAGTGACTAAGTGAGTGTCTGAGTGTGCGTCTCCTCTGCGTCACTCAGACACCATGTCCGATTCGGGGCCTCCCGGCGCGTCCGTGAGCTTCAGGTCGTCCATCATCTCCTCCAGGCCGATCCGCGGAGCGTCGTCGTCATCCTCCTCCTCATCGTCCCCACCTCCACCACCTCCACCTCCTCCACCTCCTCCTCCTCCTGCTGGTGTCTCCACGTGGCTCCGGTCTGCACGTGCGCAGAGAGGGGGGCGAGTGTCGGTGAGGGGGGGGGCGGGGAGACAAAGGTGGTCGCGTGCGTTTGTGTGAGTGAGTGTGTGTGAGTGTGTGAGTGAGTGTGTGTACGAGTGTGTGTACGAGTGTGAGTGCGTGAGTGAGTGTGTGCGTGCGTGAGTGTGCGTGCGTGTGTGCGTGAGTGTGTGCGTGAGTGTGTACGTGCGTGAGTGTACGTGCGTGAGTGTGTGTGCGTGTGTGTACACGTGTGTGTGTGTACACGTGTGTGTGTACACGTGTGTGCGTGTACACGCGTGTGTGTGTGTACACGCGTGTGCGTGTGTACACGTGTGTGCGAGTGTACACGTGTGTGTGTGTACACGTGTGTGTGTGTGTGTACACGTGTGTGCGAGTGTACACGTGTGTGTGTGTACACGTGTGTGTGTGTACACGTGTGTGTGTGTGTACACGTGTGTGTGTACACGTGTGTGTGTGTACACGTGTGTGTGTGTACATGCATGTGTGTGCGTGTGTACACGTGTGTGTGTGTGTACACGTGTGTGTGTGTGTACACGTGTGTGTGTGTGTGTACACGTGTACGTGTGTGTACACGTGTGTGTGTGTACACGTGTAGTGTGTGTACACGTGTGTGTGTGTGTGTACACGTGTGTGTGTGTACACGTGTGTGTGTGTACACGTGTGTGTGTGTGTACACGCGTGTGGTGTGTACACGTGTGTGTACACGCGTGTGTGTGTGTGTACACGTGTGTATGTGTGTGTACACGTGTGTATGTGTGTGTACACGTGTACGTGTGTGTGTACACGTGTGTGTGTACGTGTGTGTGTACACGTGTGTGTGTGTACACACGTGTGTGTGTGTACACGTGTGTGTGTGTGTACACGCGTGTGCGAGCGAGTCATCACGGTAGATGTTCACGTTTTTCCTCACAGCCTCATGTGTGTGTGTACACGTGTGTGTGTGTACACGTGTGTGTGTACGTGTGTGTTTACACGTGTGTGTGTACACGTGTGTGTACACGTGTGTGTGTACACGTGTGTGTACACGTGTGTGTGTGTGTGTACACGCGTGTGCGAGCGAGTGAGTCACCACGGTAGATGTTCACGTTTTTCCTCACAGCCTCATCTTCCTCCAAGTCCTCCAGGAAGTCCTCGTACTGCCTGCTCACACAAAGACAAAGGTCACCCGCGTAGCCTGCGACGGACTGACGGGGCAAGTGCTGCGAGTAGCGACACTGGTGAAGGCCGGCACGGCACACGAGGGGGTGGGGTAGGTGGTCAGCACCATGCCCGGCCACACTCACACACGCACGCACACGCACGCACGCACGCACACGCACGCACTCACACACACTCACACACACACGCACGCACGCACACGCACTCACACAATACGCACTCACACACATATGCACTCACACGCACTCACACACACGCACTCACACGCACTCACACGCACACACTCACACACTCACAGACTCACACACACACTCACACACTCACTCGCACGCACTCACTCACTCACACACACGGACACACACACTCACACACACGGACACTCACACACACACACTCACACACACGGACACACACACTCACACACACGGACACTCACACACACGGACACTCACACACACTCACACTCACCCACACTCACACGCTCACACACGCTCACACACGCTCACACGCGCTCACACACACTCTCATACACTCACTCACACACACTCACCCACACACTCACCCACACTCACTCACCCACACTCACACTCACTCACCCACACTCACCCACACTGACCCACACTCACCCACACCCACTCACCCACACTCACCCACGCTCACACACGCTCACACGCACTCACACGCACTCACACACACTCTCACACACTCTCACACACTCACTCACACACACTCACCCACACACTCACCCACACACTCACCCACGCTCACTCACGCTCACCCACACTCACCCGCACTCTCACACACACGGACACACTCACTCACTCACACACACACTCACACACACTCACCCACACACTCACCCACACTCACTCACCCACACCCGCTCACCCGCGTGAGAGACACCCCCACCCCCGCCCCCGCCCCCAGCCCCCCACCCAACCTCCCGGCCCCCGTCACCTTTCGTCGTCCGAGGCGACGTCGTGGTTGCCCTGGCGCTCCCTGGGCAGTTCGGCCAGGGTCCAGTTTCGCCGCCGTGCCCGTCGCGAGCGCTCGTAGGCCTTGCGCACAAGCACCACGGACGGTGGCGACGACGACGCCGACGCCCCCTCCACGTCGCCAAAGTTGGCGCACGACAAGTCCAGCCTGGGGGGGCGGTAGCCACGCACACGCACGCACGGTGAGTGTGTGTGAGAGTGTGTGTGAGAGTGTGTGTGTGTGAGAGTGTGTGTGTGTGACAGCGTGTGTGTGAGCGTGTGTGTCTGTGTGTGTGGCTGTGTGTCTCTGTGTGTGTGCGTGTGTGTGTGTGTGTCTGTGTGTGTGTGTGTGTGTCTGTGTGTGTGTCTGTGTGTGTGTGTCTGTGTGGGTGTGTGTGTCTGTGTGTGTGTCTGTGTGTGTGTCTGTGTCTGTGTGTGTGTCTGTGTGTGTGTCTCTGTGTGTCTGTGTGTGTCTGTGTGTGTCTGTGTGTGTGTGTGTCTGTGTCTGTGTGAGTGTGTGTCTGTGTGAGTGTGTGTGTCTGTGTGTGTGTGAGTGTGTGTGTGTCTGTGTGTGTGTCAGTACCCCAGCACGCGGTCTCCTGGCTTGAGCAGGTGGCCCAGGTGTGTGCGTGTGTGCAGCTGCTCCCCCGTGCCAACCTCGTTCCACCGCTGCAACCAGACCTCCGCCAGCACATGCTGCACACACGCACACACGCACATACACACGCACACACAAACACACACGCACACACACACACGCGCGCATATGCGCGCACGCACACACACACACACGCGCATACGCGCGCACGCACACACACACACGCGCACACACACGCACACACGCGCATGCACACACACACACACACGCGCATACGCGCGCACGCACACACACACACGCACGCGCGCACACACACACGCGCACATACACGCGCACACACAAACAAACACACATACGCGCACACACACACATACGCACACACACACACGCACACACACACAAACACACGCACACAAACATGCGCGCACACACACAGACACACAAGAGCATACACACACACACACGCACACACGATCATAATTTACACTTCAATAAATGTTCACACAGAGGCCACAAGACAAAGGTCCCCCATGTAGCCTCTAACAGGCTGCAGGGGCAAGTGCTGTTAGTAGCGAGTAGCAGCAGCACCTATGAAGGCTACCGGCGCTGTGGCACACGAGGGGGTGGGTGGCTACCAGCACCACGCCCGGCCGCCTTTGTCTCCCCAGTGGCGATGTTGAACACACGACATCGTTGTGGTTATATATTCTTGGTTCTTACGGTAAAGTCATGTAGAAGGGAAATAATAAAATAAAAAATATATAAAACAATAAAAAAATTGAAACATTTTCTTGCTGTGGATTTCACACCTGATGACGATTGCTTGTGTTGCAGTCGAAACGTCGTGAGGATTTTTTGTTTGTTTTATATTTGTATTATTTTATTATTTCCCTTCTACGTGACTTTACCGAAAGAACCAAGAACATGAATCCCTGCAGTCACGAAAGCTTTAAATCAAAATGTGTCGTGGTTGTGGTGGTGGTGGTGGTAGTGATGGTGATTGTGTTGATGGTTGCGTTGATGGTTGTGGTAGGGTTGTGGTAATGGTTGTGGTGGTTGTGGTGGTGGTTGTAGTGGTGGTTGTAGTGGTAGTGGTGGTGGTTGTGGTTGTTGTGGTGGTTGTGGTGGTGGTTGTGGTGGTGGTAGTGGTGGTTGTGGTGATGGTTGTGGTGGTTGTTGTTGTTGTGGTTGTGATGGTGGTGGTTGTTGTGATGGTTGTGGTGATGGTTGTTGTGATGGTGGTGATGGTGGTGGTGGTGGTAGTGGTGGTAGTGGTTGTGGTGGTTGTTGTGGTTGTCGTAGTGGTTGTGGTTGTCGTAGTGGTTGTGGTAATGGTTGTGGTGGTTGTGGTGGTTGTTGTTGTTGTTGTTGTGGTGGTTGTTGTTGTTGTGGTTGTTGTTGTTACCCGCGAGGATGTAGCCCCGGAGGCGGCTGAGCGCCGCTGGTCCCGCAGCGTCTCCACGTCCAGCACGATGAACGATGTGAAGGAACGTGGCGTGGACAGCGACCCAAAGGGCTCCCTCCAGAACACCGCCCCGCTCACCTCCGCCACTACCAACAACAACAACCAGCCCCACTCACCACCAGCCCCACTCACCACCAGCCCCACTCACCACTACCCATGCACTCACCATCACCACCACCCCCACGCACCCCCACTCACCTCCGCCACTACCACCACCACCCCCACTCACCACCGCCACTACCACTCACCACAACCCCCACTCACCACCACAACCCCCACCCCGCTCACCGCCACAACCACTACCCCCCCCCCCCCCCACCGCCGCCATCACCACCACGACAACGCTCATCATAACCGTCACATCAACAACAACAACAACAACGACGACAACAACAACGACGACAACAACAACAGCAGCACCGCCGTCTCCGCGGCGAGCGGCGCGTTGGGGGGGGGGGGGGCACGCAGATCGGTGAAGTACGGTGATGTATGGTGAAGTAGCACGGTGAAGGACAGTGAATTGCGGTGAGGTACGGTGAGGCACGGTGAGGTGCGGTGATGTAGTACGGTGAAGTACGGTGAGGCACGGTGAGGTGCGGTGAAGTGTGGTGAGGTACGGCGAAGTACGGTGAAGCACGGTGAGACGCGGTGAGGTGAGGCACGGTGAGGTGTGGTGAAGTACGGTGAGGCGCGGTGAGGTGAGGCACGGTGAGGTGTGGTGAAGTGCGGTGAAGCACGGTGAGACGCGGTGAGGTGAGGCGTGGTGAGGTACGGTGAAGTACGGTGAGGCGCGGTGCTTTTGCCGCACCCTGCAGGGTGCCGGGGTCGATGAGGTGGATGGCGGAGGTGACGCGTGCGCACACGCACACCTGCCCCAGGTTGCCCAGCGAGCGCGCCAGCGCCGGGGACAGGCACACCACGTCGCCCTGACGGAGACACAGCACGGGGAGGTTAGTGAGTAGTCTAGAGACACAGACAAAGCGCGGGGAGGTTAGTGAGTAGTCGTCTAGAGACACAGACAAAGGTCCCCCGTGTAGCCTCTAACAGGATGTAGGGGCAAGTGCTGTGAGTAGCGAGTAGCAGCAGCCACGCCCGGCCGATGTTCACTACACATTCACTCACTCTCTCTACAAAGATCCCCCGTGTAGCCTCTAACGGGATGTAGGGGCAAGTGTTGTTAGCGAGTAGTAGCAGTTTATAGAGACACAGACAAAGGTCCCCCGTGTAGCCTCTAACGGGCTGTAGGGGCAAGTGCTGTCAGCGAGAAGCAGTCTATAGAGACACAGACAAAGGTCCCCCGTGTAGCCTCTAACAGGCTGTAGGGGCAAGTGCTGTTAGTAGCGAGTAGCAGCAGCACCTATGAAGGTAGACACAGACAAAGGTCCCCCGTGTAGCCTCTACAGACTGTTGGGGCAAGTGCTGTTAGTAGCGAGTAGCAGCAGCGTCTGAATGGACCTGTTCTCCACCTGAGGACGGCTGCTTGCGTTGTGGCCGAAACGTCGTGAGAATTGTATTTTATTTCGTTTAATTTTTATTATTTTATTATTTCCCTTCTACGTGATGACTTTACCGAAAGAACAAAGAAGATGAATCCCTGCAGTCACGAAAGAAGCTTTACATCGAAATCTCCCCCAGCGGTCGATGTTCACTACACACCGCGCAGCGTTTGAGGCCGAGTGGACCTAGGGGAGTGCCCGCGTAGCGTGCGGAGGCTCACCTTGCATATAGGGACGATCTCGACGGAGTAGGCGCTCTTGCAGTTGTAGGTGTTGGTGTGCACGTCGTGAGAGATGAGGCGCTCCGATGTCTTGGACCTGCGGAGGGTGAGTGGGTGAGTGGGCGAGTGGGTGGGTGAGTGAGTGGGTGGGTGGGTAGGTGAGTGAGTGGGTGAGTGAGTGGGTGGGTGAGCGGGTGACCGAGTGGGTGGGTAGGTGGGCAAGTGGGTGAGCTGAGCGGGTGAGTGAGTGGGTGGGTGAGTGGATGGGTGAGTGGGTGGACGGGCGAGTGAGTGAGTGGGTGGGTGAGTGGGTGGGCGAGTGGGTGGGCGAGTTGGTGAGCAGTTGAGTGGGCGGGCGAGTGGGTGGGTGAGTGGGTGGGCGAGTGGGTGGGTGAGTGGGTGGGCGAGTGGGTGGGCGAGTGGGTGGGCGAGTGGGTGGGCGAGTGGGTGGGTGAGTTAGTGAGTGGGTGGGTGAGCGAGTGGGTGGGTGAGTGGGCGAGTTAGTGAGCGGTTGAGTGGGCAGGCGAGCAGGTGGGTGGGTGAGCGGGTGACCGAGTGGGTGGGCAGGTGGGCAAGTGGGTGAGCTGAGCGGGTGAATGGGCGGGCAAGTGAGCGAGCGAGCGGCGAGCGACCTGCAAGGCACCACGGTGTTGAAGAACTCCACCATCTTGCGTGCTTCCTGCTTCGACCCAAAGTAAAAGTCCAGTCCTCCTGCGCAGAGCCACACGGTACGGCAAAGCACGGTAACGGCACGGTACGGTAGAGGGAGCAACGCTGTATCCCACCCCCTCCCCTCCCCAAGTCCACTGGTGCATCGCGGCGAACTCTCTCACCGTGCACCTCCTTGATGTTGAGCGTGTGCTGGTGCATGCGGTGCTTCAGGATCAACTGCTCCAAGTAGAAGAATGTCTTCTTGTGAGACGCCTTGGGGGTGGAGGGACGACACACACACACACACACGGATGATCGGGTCCGGCACGGCACGGGTGGCCGTTTTCCACTGGCGCATCCGAGCCGAGAAGACGCCCACCAGAGTTTGGCAGGGTCCCGGTGGCGTGGGGCTCACAGCGAGAGTCTCCGCCCCCCGCTCACAGCGAGCGGCACGGCACGGTTTGTGCAGTGGAAAAAGTGGTAAGAGGAGAGAGGGGGACACGGGGACAGGGAGCACGGGGAGACACGGGGACAGTGACACATGGGGACACGGGGAGACACGGGGACACGGAGACAGGGGGAGACACGGGGAGACAGGGGGAGACACGGGGAGACACGGGGAGACACAGGGAGACACGGGGAGACACGGGGAGACACGGGGAAACAGGGGGAACAGGGGGAACAGGAAGACAGGGGGAACAGGGAGACACGGGGAGACACGGGGAGACACGGGAACAGGGAAACACAGAGAGACACGGGGACACACGGGGAGACAGGGGGAGACAGCGGGAGACACGAGGAGACAGGGAGAAACGGGGAGACAGAGGGAGACAGGGGGAGACACGGGGACAGGGAGAAACGGGGAGACAGAGGGAGACACGGGGAGACACGGGGACACGGAGACAGGGGGAGACACGGGGAGACACGGGGAGACACGGGGAGACACGGGGAGACACGGGGAGACACGGGGAAACAGGGGGAACAGGAAGACAGGGGGAACAGGGAGACACGGGGAGACACGGGGAGACACGGGAACAGGGAAACACAGAGAGACACGGGGACACACGGGGAGACAGGGGGAGACAGCGGGAGACACGGGGAGACAGGGAGAAACGGGGAGACAGAGGGAGACAGGGGGAGACACGGGGACAGGGAGAAACGGGGTACACAGGGAGACAGGGGGAGACACGGGGTACACGGGGAGACACGGGGGACTGGGAGACACGGGGACAGGGGGAGACAGGGGGAGACACGGGGACACACGGGGAGACGGGGAGACAGGGGGAGACACGGGGAGACACGGGGAGACACGGG